GAGCAAAAAACAGCGATATGCTAAAATTAAAATGATTGAAAATGACACGTAAAATGCTGACAATAATTATACATTAAACATACTTTAAGTCTTAACAAGGAAAATCTTGAAGGACCCACAAAGAACAAAAAAAAAAACTGCTTGCTTTCCTGCAAGTTTATTCTGAAGGATCAACAGCAGACAGATGATGGATATAATTGAGAAGGAAGGGGGAAGAGAAATGAATAAATAGAGAGGGGAGAGAGAAGGGCAGTACTAAGACGGAGTGGAATAGGGAGTTAAGAGGGAGAAAAGAAGCATAGATAAAGCGTACACACAAAAGAAGAGGAAGAGGACAGCAAGAGAATGAGAGGAAGACAAAGACAGGCATAGGAATAACAGGGGAGACGAGAATAACAAGGAACACTCAAGCAAAAGAGGGAGGACGTACAAATGGACCAAGAGGGGTGACCGCAGGGACCTAAAGAGGTGACCCCAGGGACCAGAAGAGAGGGGTGACCTCAGGGACAAGGGGAGAGGGGGGGTGGCCACAGGGACCAGAAGAGAGGGGAGGGGAGGGTGGCCACGGACAAGGAGAGGGGTGACCACAGGGACAAGGAGAGGGGGGGTGGCCGCAGGGACCAGCACAGAGAGAAGGGTGAAGCAGGACAGGAGAGAGAGGGTGAAAGCAGGGACCAGGAGAGAGAGAAGGGTGAAAGCAGGGACCAGGAGAGAGAAGGGTAAAAGCAGGGACCAGGAGAGAGGGGTGAAAGCAGGGACCAGGAGAGAAGGGTGAAAGCAGGGACCAGAGAGAGAAGGGTGAAAGCAGGGACAGGAGAGAGGGGTGAAAGCAGGGACCAGAAAGGGGGTGAAAGCAGGGACCAGGACAGGAGAAGAAGGGTGAAAGCAGGGACCAGGAGAGAGAGAGAGGGTGAAAGCAGGGACCAGGAGAGGGAGAGAGAAGGGTGAAAGCAGGGACCAGGGAGAGAGAAGGGTGAAAGCAGGGACCAGGAGAGAGAGAAGGGTGAAAACAGGGACCAGGAGTAAGCAGGAGAGAAGGGTGAAAACAGGGCCAGGAGAGAGAGAAGGGTGAAACAGGGACCAGGAAAAGGGTGAAAGCAGGAGAGGAAAGGGTGAAAAGCAGGGCCAGGAGAGAGAGAGAAGGGTGAAAGCAGGGACCAGGAGAGAGAGAGAAGGGTGAAACAGGGACCAGGGAGAGAGAAGAGAGAGAGAGAGAGAAGAGAGAGAAGGTGAAAACAGGGACCAGGAGAAGAGAGAGAGAGAGCAGAGAGAGAGAGCAGAGAGAGAGAGAGAAGGGTGAAAGAGGGACCAGGAGAGAGAAGGTGAAAGCAGGGACCAGGAGAGAGAAGGGTGAAACCAGAGACCAGGAGAGAGAGAAGGGTGAAAGCAGAGACCAGGAGAGAGAAGGGTGAAAGCAAGGACCAGGAGAGAGAGAAGGGTGCAAGCAGGGACCAGGAGAGAGAGAAAGGGTGCAAGCAGGGACCAGGAGAGAGAAAAGGGTGAAAGCAGGGACCAGGAGAGAGGGAAGGGTGCAAGCAGGGACCAGGAGAGAGAAGGGTGCAAGCAGGGACCAGGAGAGAAGAAAAGGGTGCAAGAGCAGGGAAGGAGAGAAGAAAAGGGTAAAAACAGGGGACAAGGAGAGAGAGAAGGGTGAAAACAGGGACCATGAGAGAGAGAGAGAGAGAGAGAGAGAGAGAGAAGGGTGAAAGCAGGGACCAGGAGAGAGAGAGGGTTGAAAGCAGGGACCAAAAGAGGTGAGCGCAGGGTGGAAACAGAAGGGAAAGAGACCTGGTGGGCGGAGTAGACAGGTCATCTTGACCTGAACCTCCGTGGCCTTTCAACCAACACTAACAGACCTGCAAACGACTGTAATGTACACTGCCGTGCTTACTGTATATATCTTCACTTATTCCACGTACGTACTATCCATTACATGTCACTACACCAACGAATCTAGTTAGTAACCTTATACCTGAAGTCCATTAATATAACAAATAATCCCTACATAAAAAAAAAAAAACTTACGACGTTTCGATCCAACTTTGATCATTGACTAGCCACACAGAAGCACGAAGGTAAGGGGGCCAGTATATATACGAGACGAGGTGAAGACGGGAGAAAGAGGAAGAAATAACTAAACACCTGGCACCTTGTGGGAGAAATAACCTCGAAAGGATATACTACCCTACTTCTGAAGAAATTTTTATTTGCAAATAATTCTTTAGCTGTAATGGAAGTATAACCTTTCTGGTCGTGATCGTTGCAGTCACACCACACCAGTGGTGTGACTGGTATGGTGTCACCACTGGTAATGATGGCAACACCATTCATCTCACAACCACTACATCGACCCAAGTTTTTGAATTTAAGAAAGTCCACACGAAATGGGTAAACACCACAAAGCCAAAGAACGACCCCGAAAATTACAAGTGGACCGGTTTCTGGGAGTTACAAAGATCGCCGAGGCAAAGGGAACACACACACACCATCTACCTATTCACACAGCTAACCAGGAAGAATATACTTCCATACGTCTAAGTGGCCATGAGAGTGACCAGAGGAGACGAAAAAAACTTCGTACTTTCTTCCTCAGAACTGGGATGGAAAGAGACTGGAAGTAGAGAGACGCCTCAAGACCGGTTTGATGCACTAACAGCCAGTATTTATCTTGTGCTTGCAGTAACAAATAAGGATTTCGAGACTTCGATCTCTTAATCAAATGAACACTAAAGATAATTTAGACTAGTGGAATTAGAATGATCTAAAGTGAGCATTTTGATACGCTAATTTTAGCTACGAAAGCAACGAGATCACACACACTACTAGTGACAACCAGACAGTGCTGGAAGTAACTTGTTCATACACTTCTGCTAGCAACTCAGACTACCCAAGTCAGCACGTATCTTCAGTCTCTGAAAATTGTTGTGTTTTCCAGTGAATAAGGCCAAAATCCATTGTCATATCCAACGCACAATTGGACTTGCAACTTCAAGGGCATATCTATGCATGTAATCCACATATACCGCTGAGCCAGCAGCCTCCCATAGACAAAGGTCAGTAGTTTGGTTTCAGTGTCCTCTGGTTTATGTCCAGGGCATCAATGAACTCCACATGCTCGTGCCGGGCGTGGACGAGAGTTAGTCATTCTTGGTTGTAATGGTAAGGAGATACCGTCAAGCTATGGAAAGACATGAGTACTTCAGTCACTCGTTGGGAAGTTATCCAACGAGTGACTTCATTACTAAATGTCCCGGGGGAAGCGCTAAACCCGTAGGATTAGGAAAATTATATTAGGAAAATATAATTTATATATATATACATACACATACACATACACACACATACACACACACACATACACACACACACATACACACACACACATACACACACATACACACACACATACACACATACATATACACACATACATATACACACATACATATACACACATACATATACACACATACATATACACACATACATATACACACATACATATACACACATACATATACACACATACATATACACACATACATATACACACATACATATACACACATACATATACACACATACATATACACACATACATATACACACATACATATACACACATACATATACACACATACATATACACACATACATATACACACATACATATACACATACATAACACACAACAATACACACATAACACACACATACACACATATACACACATATACACACATACACAACATATACACACATACACACATACACACACACACACACACACACATACACACATACACACATACACACATACACAATACACACACATACACACACATATACACACACATATGCACACAATACACACATACATATACACATACATATACACATATACACACACACACACACATCACAACATATTACACATACACATACATACACATACATACATATACACACACACACATTATACACACACATACTACACATATACACACATATACACACAACACATACATATACACACATACTATACAACATACATATACACACACACATACATACATATAATACAAAATACATATACAAAATACACATACATATACACATACATATACACACACACACATACATATACACACACACACACACACACACCACACACTTATTGAAGGTATCACCTCTGGAACTGTCCTGGGGACCCTCATCCTCAGAAAAGAATAAACTTGCTTCAGGGAAAACTCAAGGTTCTCCTTGAGGCTGTTCGAAAATTTCTCCTACCACTCCCTATATTTAATATAAATTTTATTTAAGAGACTGAGGCGCTCAAGCTCAATACAAGGGAAAAAACCGGTTCCTTCGATCGAGAAACCCCCCTCCCCCCTTCACCGTTTTGAGGTGGAGTGAATATATGCAGAATTTGACAGTAGGTATTAGAAGCAAGATTCAAAGAAGAGTCATGGTTTGATAGTTTAGAAAATTTGGAGCACAAGGACCAAGCGCTTAACCCGTAGGGTTCATGTAGTGCCTGGGGAAATTAGGGTCATCGCATGGTGAAGACCCGGGCAAGGATCCACCTGGCGAACCTGCCTGGGAAATGAAGAGGCGATCAAGTTGGACCCTAGGAACCGGAGGCCGAGGCCAATTCCTTTCAAAAGCCCATCACCAAACGATGTACACAACAGGTGAAAAGAAGTAAGGGGTGTTCCCAGGAAGGGCTGAAGCAAGTGTGGAGGTGCCTCAGTATAAAGTACTTCAGCATTCAGGGTTGTGTGAGCGTGCTAGACCAGTGACGGTTACCATGTTGGCACGAGAGGAACGTACATTAAGAAATTTAGAGAAACCTGTTAATCACATAATTAAGCAGAGAGGGAGATTTGAACTGCGTTATCAGTGACCTTTTGGCAAGACAGCTATTGAATAATGGTAATTATTTTCTTTGAGAGTCGCCTTATCTCTCAGGATGTTGGCCACTGTAGTAAAAGAAATAGCATGATAAAGATTTTATTCTTAGATTTTAAATAATTTTTTCTGACATTTTATTAAAAAAAACTTTCCTAAGCCAAAAAATTGCAATAGTTTAAAAGCGTCACATCGCTCCAAGGGGGAAAAAAAAAAATGTATCCCAGACCACACATTGACAGGGAAGGTGGGGTCCTGGCAGTCTCTCAGAGCTCATCTCTGGGGTGCAGTAAAGTGCAGTGGTAAGGACAGCGGTTGTCCAAACCGTTCAAGAGAGCAGTAGCGTAGACGTAGTAAGCTTCAGGGACGTGGGGCGTCATCATTCCCAGACCCACCCGCAGCATCATCACGTGACTCGCAGCCTTGCCAACCTGACACAGGATCATCTCAAGACAGTCCTCCTTCTCGAACGGCTCTGCGGCAAAATGAAAAGTCACATTAATGACCAGTTTACGAAGCCTGTACCAGAGTATCAACATTATACCCATGGGAAACTTCTCAAAGAGTTATCCGAAGGGGAGGGAGGGTGGCTTCAATTTAAGAAAAACGATCGTCAGTATAAAAACAACTAAGGGAAATTAACAGTTCCAGGCGTCTCAGCAAATAGAACAGTATTAAAAGTAATCTTACCAAGCATCCTTCTGAAAATACTGATAATCACTTCGTCCGGTCTCAGCGGGGTTTTATTACGCTGATCCTGTGCTTTCTTCCTCAGCGCCTCCTGCAGGACAAAACAGCGCATGAGCATAAAACGACACTCGTTATATAGGTAATTAAAGACAACCTGCTCGTATAATTCATATTGGATTATCTTCCATGAAGATGTATAGGTTATAAAAACGTGTTTGTCAGTAACTTCAGGGGAGTTTCATGCAAGTATATATCAGGTAAAACCTACGCTCAACCTTTTTGGGATCAACTACTGAGTATAGCGCTGTAATTCTATAGTATATTTAATATTTAAAATAGTTTCTCACCATCTGCGCCCTAGAAGGATTCTTAATCTAAAGAATCAGTTCCTCACCCACCTCCTTCCTTTGATCAAACCTGAATGCTTCCCTTTCCCTGGGGTTTAGCGCTTTCCCACTAACACTACCTAAAGCCATCTAACAAGGACTCCTTCCCTCCCCCCCCACTATAGTTCATGATGCACCTTTAACCTTGATAGTCTCTCACCCCTCCCCTACTTGGATCTACCCCCCCCTCCCCACATCAGCCATATCCCCCTAACCCCCCCCCACAACAGACATGTTGTGATAAACGGTTTTGAAAACGGACAAGTAATTAAGATTGAGATTGTGCAACTATGAAATCTTTGAGGAACGTTTCGCCACACAGTGCTTCATCGTCTATACAAATATATATAGTAGTGTAGTGTAGTGTTCGTATATAGTAGTAGTATAGTAGTCTATAGTATAGAAGAGTATTAGTAGTAGTAGTTAGTAGTAGTAAGTAGTAGTAGTAGTAGTAGTAGTAGTAGTAGTAGTAGTAGTAGTCTCAGCCTGGAATCGATGCGTTCAATCCATCACTTTTAGAAAGTACAGCATATGGCCGGAGAAATAGCTTATATACTGTAGTCTGGCGAGTAAGTAGGTCTTTGTCCAAACGTTGGACAAGTATTGAATTCCTTGTATCATGGAAAACATGCAGTTGATTGACTGAAGTGACTGAATAAATCGGTTCCAGGCTGAGGGACTGATTACCTCAACCTACTCTTCACCTTACCCCTTTCTGCTTTGTATTGCCTCAGTCATCAGACATGTTCCCTACCCCTCTTATATTTACATCTGGTCACCTTTCAATTATAAAAAAAAAAAATTTTATCTTCACCTTTAGATTAAAAAAGGTTACTTTACTTCCCTACTGAAAGTCGCAACAAGACAACTCAGATTCTTTGGTCCAGACTACTCACCTTTTTACTTTGCATTAGGAAGCCACTTTTGTAGTCTTCACTGTTGACATTTATTAAGTTCTTCCAGCTACTCTCGGCCGACTTTGCTCCGCTGTCAGCCAGCATCGTTCCACCAAGTCCACCGCCGCCGTCAGTCAACACGACTCCTTCGTGATCTTCACGCAGAGTTTCGCCGCTGTCATTTTCAATATCTGCGTAGTCCTCAGGCTCTGTTCTTTCTTTCGTCAATCTTTGAGAGTTGTGTATTGTCCTCACACCGCCCTCCGCCGCCCACAGTCCGCCCACTACCAGCAACACAAGCAACCACTTGTCTGCCGACCGTCAATACTACATACAATTAAAGACTACGAAAGTAAATCTAAAGTATTTTCACAGGCTGGCACATCAAACTCACCCCTATTTACTACTTCCTTCTTATCAACCCTAAGTAGGTAAGGGGACCTGCATTTGCAGTCCTAGGACCAAAAGGCCCTTCAGCACTACAAATCTTCGACAAAATCTTAATAAATATAGTAAGGGAAAACTAACATGCTAGAAAAATCTATTGACAAATTAGATCTGCACACTAAGATTCCACTAAAATATAACCTACATTTCTTTAGGAACAAATCCTAAGCATCCTAACTCACCTGTATCAATGTCACAAGCTGCATATAGTAGGATTTCCTGCATCGGGAGATGGGTGGGAGAGGCCCTTTGATGAGCAGTGGGAGGCATCACATGGTAAAGTAAATATTCCCTTGGAAAGCAGAGTGCCAGATATCTACATCTTGCCAAACCATGTACACTGCACGTCTGTAGATCCCATCAGAACCATCACATTCTCATTTCACAACGTCACACAGTCCAGGAAGTCTAACGTACAGTGCAATCTGTACCAGCCTCTACTTGTGCTCGTACATTACCCGGGACCTTGACATTCCTAGTTCAGTAACAGCTACTTGTCTGTGCCTCGTTGAACACGTGTGAACAATCAAATATAACTTAGTTTGGCAAGGACGTTCGTCAAAACTATTGTTCCGTGATAAAGTTAAGAGTTCTTCTAGCTTTCATTCAACACTAGCAAGTTCTTGTTCATTTATTGACATTACCAAATTGTCTCGTGGCAAAATAATTCACGATTTTTTGAAACCATTCGTATGAAATACAGTAATGAAGAAATAGACATTTTCCCACGGAATGTAATTACTAATGTTTACACTGTATATAGAATAAACGATCTAGGCATTACAGAAAATGCAATGCTTAGCTGAACTGATGGGACTGGTTGGAGAAGCACAATTATCAAATCTCTTCGGCATCAAAATTATTTAATGTAAATAACTCTTAATGCTGAAGGAAATATCAGTAAATTATTATAAATTTACTGAAGTCTGATAGCAAGCCTCAAACTTTATTTTAGGACTATTTTAGGTTGTCTCCCACCGAGCCAACCCAAAAAGGAAAAAGTTAATCATTTATTTTAATAGCCGTGTTGCCAAAAGTGTGCAGACAGGTAGTTCGTACGACCCTCCGAACTGCCACATTCCCACCCTTCACCTTCGGAGTGCAGGCACTGAACTTCACTTCAGAACTCGAGCCAGGCTAACTGGTCTCCCTGAACCCTTTCAGAAATGTTAGCTTGCTCACTCAAGCAGCATGTCAAGGCACAAAACATCTCTCATTGCACTGTGATTAACACGCTCGTACAAGCTTGTTGCAGCTGAAGTCCCTACTTGCACTCAACCTTTAACACCCCCCTCCCCCTCCCTCCCTCCAACCATTCTCTGAAGACTCTTATCCCTCCCTCTTTCCTTCCTTTCATTTATATAGCTTTGCCATCCCTTTGTACTCAATCCTCTAAATGCCTAAGGATGAAGAGGATGACCAAGAGGGTGTATACATTAGTTCCTATAAACAACTAATTTACTCTTAAGAACATAAGAATGAAGGATCACTGCAGCAGCCCTACTGGCCCATACAAGGCAAGTCCTTATCAAGGAATCATTCACGCAATTGTCCAAACTTTCCTCAATGCTACGCGACTGGACTAATGCCCATTCACGAGATAAATAGTATAATACAGACGAGACTGGTGCAGCACCTGGGTTTCAAGACGTTTCGTCCGCACAACTGGATTTAGCAGTCAGAAGGACGAGAAAGACATTGGAGCCACTGAAGTGGAGAGTTCCAGCAGTTTAAGACAGTCAAATGTGGATGGCCCTTAACTAAAGCCCATAAGGTGGGCTAGCTTTTAGCAATGGAATTTTAGAACAGATTCTGTGTACAGAGTCCATGGTATTGTGTCCGACAAGTATCACGAGATTAATGGCACAATACTGACAAGATGAACAAGACTTGCGCAACACCTGGGTATCTTCATTGAAATTTACGCACAACTGATTTCATTAATTTTTCAATTTGGCTTTGTGAAGACAGTCGATAAAGACCTAGTTGTTGCACCTGACACACAGCCAATGAAGTTTGGCAATATTTATCTGAAATGGGGAAACGCTAAACCAGTTTCCCCGACTCAAAACATTTAAACATAGTAATTCGAAAGAGCATAGCAGTTTAACACATGCAGAGAGACTTATTACTAATAAAAAATTTCCTCGAGGAAGAATAGACACGAACTGAGTAGCTAGCAGAAATATACGAGCACAGTAATATAATCACAAGAAAAAGATTTGCAAACTAGATAATTTTATTACATTTACTAAAATACTTAACCTTAAAAAAAAAAAGCCTTCTCCAGGTAACTATTGAGATTAACCAATTCACATAAGCTTAGTAAGCGGGTTTTCGTAAAGTTTGCCGAGTTTGATTTCTTATAAAATATTGAAGCCAACTTATTGTAGCAAAAATCACTTACGAGTTATATACGAACAAGCAGTGTAATAGATAATTAGGTTTAATCAGAATAATTAACCTAGACTACATTCGTTCAAGTAGTTTAGATTGAAAAAAAAAACTGCTGTGGGACTTCCGAACTACCTAATTACAGTTCCCGGCTCTAACAAAAATAATAACTTTGACTAAGAAAACGTAGGATGACCACTTACCAGTTTTCTTCATCGTAAAGAAACATATATGGAATGCAGGTACGAAGAATTCGTTCCCAGATATTGCAGCGTGTTGCTTCTCATAAGAGTGTAGCAACAGTAGAAAGAGTCAAGTCATGTACAGCACAGTTAACCATACTGCAAGTGAAAATAGCTTTACCTCCACTGAAAAACTATTCCACCACCAGAGGCAAATTCTCGACCGCTAACAATTATACACTACGCGGATCACAAATCCACTCAAATATATCAATCTATTCACAGTTTATCTCCCTCTAACGTTTCATCCTGCCGCTGTAACACCGCCCAGAGAACTGCTTCAGTCTGTAACTACCAGAGACAACTACATTCTCGGGTAGTTGGTGAACTAATGAATCACTCGTGAATGTCGTCTTGCGTCCTCGAGAATATCTCTGTTGTTCTCATTCTGCATTCTTCTATTTCGTTTTTTTTATTTTTTGTACTTCTGACATCGGGTCGATTACCTTACGAAACAATAAGGATTAAATAAAATAGGCTTCAGTAATATTCCATCTTCCCAGAGCTGGATACGTCCATCCAGCAATGAAGCAAGTTGTTCAGAGTTCCGGAGTTACTCATCAGAGAAAAATATTCGCAATGAAGCAAGTTGTTCAGGGTTTTGGAGTTACTCATCAGAGAAAAATATTCGAATCTGTGTTCAGTCAGTTTGTTAGTTTTAAAGTATATCAACTGCTGGTGGGTCATGAAGGCTGCTGTTTACCCTAACACTGGCAGAAAAAAATGCTTTAAAATTAGAATTAAAGCTAACTCACAGTGCAAAAATACTGATTTATACTTCTCGTTATATGTACACTGAGATATACACACCTCTGGGTGCCTTTTCATACACATACACACACACACACGCACACACACACAGTGAATAGGCGGGGCAAACAGCTGTGAATCGACCCCTGCATCCACAATTAGGTGAGAACACACACACACACACACACACACACACACACACACACACACAACACACACACACACACACACACACACACACACACACACACACACACACATATATATATATATATATATATATATATATATATATATATTATGTTATATATATATATTAGTTTTCTTTTTTTGAGGGCTGAGGAGGGACTGTTGAACTGGTTTGGACATTTACAGAGGATAGAGAAAAATAGGATGACTTGGAAGATGTTATGTGTAGTGGAGGGAAGGAGGAGTAGGGGTCGTCCTAGAAAAGGTTGGGGGAAGGGGTAGTATATAAGACATCTTTCCGCCCATATGCTGCACTTTTCTCAAGACTGATGGACTGAATACGTCGATTCCTTGCTGAGGGACTGATTACCTCAAACACTTCTTCTTCCACCATTCTTCTTTGTATTGGACTGAAGAAGCCGCTGGCTGGCGAATCGTTTCCGTAATCAAAGATTCCCAAATGTTGCTCGTGTGTCTTACTCTAGTGCCGCTCATCCCTCCGTCCGTCTCCAGCAACGGGAGACCTAGACCCAAAACTGACCCATTTCGCAAAGCCAAAGAATTTTCCCACGCATTGTTTCACAGAAGATTAAGGTTTGTTTCCTAAATCTTCTTCGTTATTCTATTCTCGCTCAGTATTTCTCCTTCGGTACTTGCTGGAAGCCGATCTTTAAGCCATACATTACGTTATTGTGCCACTGGAAACCAATAGCCAGAGTTTCCCACTCTCTCTTATAGTTACCATGCACCCAGTCTCCGTTTTCATTGTCTTTCATTGTCACTGGTTTCCCACGAGCATTGTCCCTTCACACCCCCACTCACATGAAGAATTCAATATGGAAACTAAACGCCAGACCAACAGACCAGTTGCTCTAAGATCAATCCCAACGCTGTAACTCACAAGATTCTCGCCCTTAGCAGGGCAAGAAGGGTAGACTTGTGTTGCTGGAATGCAAGGTGTGATTGGATGCGTCGAGTGGTCGTGACCTGACACTGTCAACAACTAGGACTTGACCGCTGCCATGGTCACTGCTGGGAACTTGGTAGGATTACTCAGAGAGGGAGTTGGACTCGTCCCTCCTTCATACACTCCAACGTCAGATATTTCAGACCGGGAGTTGGAATAAGAGGAGGAGGTCCTTTGAGCTCCGATGGTTCTTGCGGTAGAAAGGACAGTGGAATAGTGTTGGGATTGCCACAGAAATGTGAAGTTCATTCTCTCTCTCTCTCTCTCTCTCTCTCTCTCTCTCTCTCTCTCTCTCTCTCTCTCTCTCTCTCTCTCTCTCTCTCTCTTTCTCTCTCTCTCTCTCTCTGATAACGGATTATAAAAAAAAATGTAATCAGCTCACTAACAAAAAAAAAAAAAAACAGGTAAAAAGGTTAACCATTTTCCTCTTTTACAAAAATGATTATACACAAGAACTACAAAACTGACAAAAAAAAATACCTGTAGAAGTTCAGTACAAAAAATTCACTTTCTCGAGAAAAGACCAAAGTTACTTAAATAAAAAAGGATCAAAATAAATGATCACTGCGTCTGACAAATAAATTACTGATGGTATACAAATGTCAGGATTTATTCCTCAATGAGGCCTGGTCTCAGACCGGGCCGCGGGGGCGTTGACCCCCGAAACTCTCTCCAGGTATACTCCAGGTATGAATAAAATGACGTGGAAAGGAATTATGGATATTTCCTTGGGGAAAAAAGTATTCAACTTGAATTAATTCACTCACAGTTACACAAGAAACTTAAAAAAACAGGAAAGGAACCTTATGACGACATATGACGACGTTTCGGTCCGTCCTGGACCACTGTTAATGGTGTATGACTGACCGAAACGTCGCCATAAGGTTCCTCCTCGAAGTGCGGTTTTACTGATGGAAGATGATTCAAACCACACTTGAGAGGAAGTGGAGCGCAGACACACAACGTCGTACATGTTTGATACACGGACGCAGATGCAACTGTGAGATTTTATTGCGGCAACGTTTCGGTCTCCATGAGTTTTGTCAAACCAGCATAACAAAGTTCCTGAAGAGCGAAACATTGCCTCAATAAATGTCACATAGTTCCCTGTCTTTATCTGTAATCTACATTATTACTAATCGTCGTACATAGTTACACAAAGATGTGGATCATAATTGCACAAACGAACACTTCACAGAAGTTCTCAATGTTCATATGAACACGTAGGTCTGCATGTGAGATGACTGTACTGTTCGTCTGTTCTTTCGTCTCGACAACTTTTGTTTATAAATAGTTTTCAAGACAGTGAACATCTGTACAAAGACCCAAGGGCATACAGATGTTGTGGACATATTTACGTATTACCCTGGACAGATTTAACATAGCTTAAATGGATAAATGGATAATGGAAAGTTTGTTTAATGGAAAGTATACGGTCGAAACGTTTTCCCTTGCACATGTCTTAAAGAGGAGTGTCTTCTGACAGGGGTCTTAATCATGGGATGATTCGCTTCATTGGAAGACTGGGGAACAGGTCCCAGAGTGGATGGTTGTGGTCGCTCGAGTACGGAACATCAGTCTACCGTGGCCCTGAGGTCTGTCACGGTAGCAACGACCGCAGGCAATACCTCGGACACGGCGGTCTGTGTGCATGGCGCATGTATATGCAAGTTCACACGGGAAGAAGCCTGGACTCTTCAGTTTATAAATACGCAAATTAAGGAATGCTGCCACACACACACACACACACACACACACACACACACACACACACACACACACACACACACACACACACACACACATTGGAGGGTCAGGGGAGACATGATAACGACATATAAAATACTGCGTGGAATAGACAAGGTGGACAAAGACAGGATGTTCCAGGGAGGGGACACAGAAACAAGAGGCCACAATTGGAAGTTGAAGACACAAATGAGTCAGAGAGATAGTAGGAAGTATTTCTTCAGTCATAGAGTTGTAAGGCAGTGGAATAGCCTAGAAAATGACGTAGTGGAGGCAGGAACCATACACAGTTTTAAGACGAGGTTTGATAAAGCTCATGGAGCGGGGAGAGAGAGGGCCTAGTAGCAACCGGTGAAGAGGCGGGGCCAGGAGCTAGGACTCGACCCCTGCAACCACAAATAGGTGAGTACAAATAGGTGAGTACACACACACACACACACAACACACACACACACAACCCTTACCCATTCTGACTGACACATGTCTCTCCATTGTTCTCTTATCTACCCTCCTTTATCCGCTCTTTCCGCTCTCCTTCTTCGTTTCTTTGAGACACAGCTAACAGCCTCCAGAAATATGATTCTTCCTCTCTCGCTTTTTTTTCCTCTCTGCTGTTTTCACACCATTCGTCAGTTTTCATAATTCGTGTCCGTTCTTCTCTTTAAATATTTTTAATCTTTCCACTTTTAAAGGATTTTTTTTCTCGGTTTCAATTAATTGCTTAAAAAACTTAATCACTGATTTATTCATTTTCTTTACACCTATTTTCCAATTTAGAAATTTGTGTCTATCTTACGTTTTCATTCGCCTATTTCAAACTCTCTTAATTTCATTCAGATGAATTTACTCTTTATTTGGTTTTTAGGCTAAAATAACTTAAATTTTAAACTTTGGCGTTGCTGGTTTCATAAATTTCTTATTATAGACTAAATTCGTCTTTTTTTTCTAACTTACAGTCAAAGTTTTGATACCTTAGATGCCTTTCATAATTTTGTTGTCAAATTTGTGTACAACTCATTGTAGACATCCATGATTCACATGACACAATACAAAGTTTGAATAAAAGTATCCTACTTTATGTGTTATACAAGGTTAGAACAAGTTTACCTGATCTACATGACATTATACAAGGTTAGAACAGGTTTACCCTTGTCTACATGAAATTATACAAGGTTAGAACAAGTCTACCCTGGTCTACATGACATTATACAAGGTTAGAACAAGTCTACCCTTGTCTACATGGCATTATACAAGGTTAGAACAAGTCTACCCTGGTCTACATGACATTATATAAACTTAGAACAAGTTTATCATAATTTATATAACATACAAGTATACTAGTGTAACCAGCTTAAAAGAACGTTGTCAGATTTTAAGTATTATGGTATTATTTCTCATGAAGAGGCTAGAATGTGCCTCTTCTTGACCGGCTGCAACACCTGGTGAAAAGGGTCATGTAGATGCAACTTGGACGAATAAATAACGTAACTCATTAACTTGGAATTGCTGGATTCTGTGGGATAACTACAAAATGCCTCTTCTGATGGCTGTAAAAATACAAACAAGGAATGGGTGGGGTTAGAACTCATGGAGAGTGAGTCGTAAAACTACAGGCCAGTGCGTAAACCACTGGGCCAGCTGGCTACAATAAGAGTCATACAACTAGGTTTAAGTATACACTGTAGGGAGGTTAGCATGGGCCA